AAAAAAAAAAAAAAAAAAAAAAAAAAAAAAAAAAAAAAAAAAAAAAAAAAAAACTAGGAATAATTTAATAAAAAAGGTATTCCTAAAAAGGGCTAATTTTTAAGTATGAACAAATTCAAGTACATTGCGCACTTTTATTGATTCCAAATTTAGAATATTTTAAATAAACATAATATTAAAAAAATATATATTCCGATTTGAAAAATCTCTTATATATATATATATTTTCTCTATCTTTATAGGCTCAATTTTGGGGGCAAATAATTTAATTTGTTGACACGTCACAGTCGTACTCTCCCGAGCTAAGAAGCTGAGAGTGAATAATGGAATGTCTGCCGAAGAAGCGTAACACCAACCCCTCACCTTCCCTTGTCTTATATTTCTTCAAATTTACACTCAAACCATAATAAAAATATATATAATTGAAAATTTAAAACCATATTAAACATATTTTAGGTTTCGGTACCTAAAATCCGATTAGATACAACTTTTAACGTATAGTTGCTTAACGTTGAATAATTGATCTTTTCTTGAAAGTGGAAGAGTGGTATGTAAGAACCGTCTTCATTCTTAAGAAGCTAGGAGTAGTTGTGACGGTAGGGAAATGTCATGGGTCATTAAGTATTGAATTCAGATTCCAAATCTTGATTCAAATTCTGGGCATGGGTCGTTACAAATAATGTCAGAGTTCCGGGGGATGTCAAGGGTCATCAGGTACAAATGCGGTCATAGTTTGGAACATGTCAATTTGGTACCACTAGTTACATACATGGTTACTCGTGGTCTATGTGCACGGTTTAGCTAATTAGATTATTTGTAAAATGGCATTTGAAAAAGTAGAGGATGATAATATATGGAAGGATAATATCTTTGTACTTAAGAGGGAGGTAAAGTTAAACTTAAGCCTATTCTCTTCCTAATCTACTTTATAATCTAGAGATTATTTATGCAAATTTAAATATAATCTATGGAGTTTAATCATTTCGATCACTTAATGAAGCAATCTACTTCTGTTTGCATTTCCTCCACCAGCAACCTGAAGATCTCAACCTCTATTTCTATGGCTATGTCTCCTCTTTCCTCCCCATTTCTCTTCCACCCGACGTCAACCTCCGCTCTCAAATCTTCCTCCGCCATCACGTCGATGGCGCTCGACTCCACCTCTTTCCACAAATCCCATCTCATGTAAACTCTCTCGACATTGCTCTCTATGCCGTGTTGTTTCATGTCCTTTTCGTTATTAGACCGATCGAAGTTATGGCTTTTGCACTCTTCTTCCTCGAGATGATCACCGTCGTCGTCCAGTTTGCCTTCCTCATCCTTTAGTAGAAATGTCTCGAGTTCTACCGGGTCTAGCTCTGCTAGTCTCTCGAATCTCCGAAGCTTTTTCAGTAGCTGATGCTTTGCCTCTGAGAAACACCACAAGGTTAACATGAACAGATTAGAAACAGGTGACGGTAGCACCGCGAATTCGAAGTTTGACTAAATGATTCGTTTTTGGCAAGAACAAATCGGTCAAGTTGCGTATAATTACTAGAGCTACTCATTACTGAAATGGTTTAAAATCCCGTATTGAATGCTCAAACAGTTCAAAAGATGAGTGGACCGGTAGGGGGTGGGGGGGACCTAGTTCAGAGGTATAGAAAACGACCATGCCATTCCAAAACGATGAAGGAACTGGCTCAATGATTGAACAGCCTAATAAATTGAAGAGGACTCCCATAATTATAACACTTCTCTTGCACCAAAATGTAGGTAAGATTTAAAGTTTTGAAGAACAAGAAAAACCAGAGCCATAGGAGGCCATTTGAACAAAAAAGTGTGAGATCTTACCTCGGTTGGAGAGGGGAACTAAGTGTTATTTATGAGGATGTGGAAACCTCTCCCTAGTAGACGGGTTTTAAAATCGTGAGGTTGACGGTGATACGTAACAGGCCAAAGCGTATAATATCTGCTAGTAGTGAGCTTGGGTTGTTAGAAATTGTATCTGAACCAGACACTGGGTAGTGTTCCAGTGAGGAGGTTGGTCCCCAAGAGGGTAGATTGTGAGATGGCACGTATTCTTTATAAGGGTGTGGAAACTTCTCCCTAGTAGATGCATTTTAAAACTATGAGGCTAACGACGATACGTAATGGGCCAAAACAGAAAATATCTGCTAGCGGTGGGCTTGGAGCTGTTACAAACGATATCAGAGCCAAACATTGGATGGTGTGCCAGCAAGGAGGCTGGTCCCCTAGGGGTGGATTGTGAAATCCCTCGTTGGTTAGAAAGAAAGCTGGTCCCTAATCACATTACTTGGGGAGGGGAATGAAATATTTTTTATAAGGATGTGAAAACCTCTCTTTAGTAGACGTGTTTTAAAACTGTGAGGCTGACACCTATAAATAACAAGCCAAAGCGGACAATATCTACTGGCGGTGGGCTTAGACTCTCACAAAAAGCAAGTGCTCAACAATACCGTGCAAGAGATTTCCTCGTATTGTCGTTGTCTATCCTCTTTTCCCTTTGTTCTATTACAGATTTTACCTAAATTCAAAAGCTTGTTTTGGTTTCACCCCCACCCATCTGATAATTGAAATCTTCCCAATGGAACCCACCAAAGATTCATGTGTTCATATCTAGTACAGCAACAAGCTTCATGAGTTTTAAAGCTCTATTAACCATGTCTAATCAGTAAAAAGTATCAATTCAGACAGTATCTATAAGCAAATGTAGCCGATAACGATAGAACAACAAACTCGAATCAATGCAACAGACAAAACAAGTATATATTTCCCTAATATGATTAGCAATTGAATTGAATCATGCTTACTTTGGACAATGGCATAGCTGCGCTCCATTTTGTAATCATCGTCGTCCTCACCGTCCTCATAGCGACCCTCTTCGTCGTCCTCAAATGGAGGATCCAACACAGACACAGGACTGCTTTGTTCTTTCTCTTCCTCCTCATCCTGAACAGGCAATTTCTTCAAGCTCTCTACGTCATTGACCTGTAAATTTGTCAAAGAAAACAAGGCAAACAACAGTGAAAAAGTTGGTTCTTTTTCTGTTCTTATAATTATGCCAACCAACAAAGGGGGGAATGTTTAATTATAAGGAGGATGTCGGTACCTATGGGAATTAAAATACAAAGGAAAATACAAAAAGGGGTTTGTCCTTTTCTTGAAAGGTCAAAAATTTTCCGGGAAAAAAGAAGAGTGTGGAATAGAAAATGAGAGATTTAGCGGTTTGTTTCTCATAACTCACTGTCGTTTTGGTGGGGTTGTCGTGTTTTGACGCCTGAAACTAATTCCGGCGGTAATTTCAGAAAATTTACACAAAATTGCCGACAGCTGGTGTTTTTCCGATGAACCCATTTCATAAAATTGCAAAAGAACAGTCATAGAATGAGTATTTCAACCTGATGGTCGTCTCGAGCCGGAGAAGATGGCGGAGAAGAAAATTCCGGCGTCCGGTGACCGGCGGAGGGACTTGATTGAAGCACAAATCGAAAAGGGCTATCGCAGAAGTCCGAGCTCGTTACATTACTCTGCCGAGAAACAGAGTCGTTCCCATTTTCGTTCTCATTAATCGCCATTTTCGCCGTCGATGGGTCATTTCTCCGACAACCACCGTCAATCTCCCGCTTCCGAGAACGACCACGATAAGTAAACCGCTTAAGAAAAGAACCCAAAAGCCCAAATCCATTCGATCTCGCGGGCGTTGACTGTTTCTGAATCCTGAGAGCAGCTTCCAGAAGAAGCCTCGCCGTTGTAGCCGGAACATGGAGGAACATAGCATTGGAATTCCGGCAAGGACTCTTCACCGGAGACTGAAATTGAAAGAGCGGCGAAGGGTTTCTAAGATCAGGAGAATGATTGAACGATAAAAAACAAGCACCCTTACAAAAACTCGCCGGAAAATCAGCGAAATGGGAAATGGGTTTTGGTTTATTGAGGTGAAGAAGGTGAGATTTGGGGGAAGGGCGCTTAAGAACACGTCTGTTGGCTATGAAATTGGTGAGAAGAAAGGGCTCTTGATCCTCTTTGAGAAGCTCGTGTAAGTGTTTTTGAGCCATGAATTGAGTGAATGCCCAGAGAGAAGTGAAAGCTAAAATGGGCGAATCCAGAATTTTGAGTTCAGTTAGCTAAGTTGAAGAAATTTCAACTTTCAGAGACCAAAAAGTTGGTTTGGAAGCTAAGGAAAGATGAGTTGACACAGAAATAGAGAGAGAACCAACTTTGGGAGAGAAACAGAGTGGAATGTGGAGAGATGGACTTACTCTGATTCAAAATCAGGGATGGAATATCGATGCAAATATGTAATAATATTATTATTATTAAATAATTTTTATAAATTAAAATTTCCTTTAAATTTAAAACTAATAAATTAAACCCAGACGAAAAGCTCAACTAGGTCCGTATTTATTAGCAATGGACTTGAGTCTAAAAATTTCGTTTTCTTTTAAATGGAAATTCTCTACCACGCTCGGAACAAATCCTCGCAAATTAAATGAATAATTATTGATGTTAGATCTAAAACATAATTAAAAAAATTATAAGTTTAAAATCATATAGTATAAGAAATTAAGAAAAGAAAAAAAAAAAGAATGGAAGAAGAAAAAGGGGGTGGTGAGAAAACGACAAGATTAGTGTACATTAGTTTACTAATAATAATATTAACTAACAAATTGATTTTGTTAAATGTAAATTAAGATATGACATGTCAGAAATTAAAGCATATGGTTCTGCAAGGTCTGCAAACAAAAATTAATTTCTCCATTTTGTTGTGGAATTTTGTGTAATTAAAAAAGAAAAGTAGTTTCAGAGAACAGTTAACTGAGATCGTACGCTCACTCAGATGAACTGACCTAATATCATTAATAATTCCTTCTTTTCTCTCTCTTGAATTACACCTGCCATTGTTAACTTGTGAAGGTTAGAGGAAGAAGAAGATACAATAATAATAATAATAAATTATCAAATTAATTAAAAATTGCCTTGTTAATGAAATATTGAATCGATATGTCGGAGGGGAGCGGAGTTTGTTGGGAAAAAAACACACATTATGAAAAATATATTTTTTTTATTCCCGTCTTTGAGCTCACATATTCGGAGTACCCTACTACTTTAACCGTCTTTTAATGCTTTGAATTTCGATTAGGTATGTTATAGTCCACGACTTTTCTAGTCTGCTGCTAAATTTCTTGGTTTGTTTAAGAGTCCGGGTCACGAGTTGCATAGGAACGCCTAATCGAGTTTTCGTGTGTAACAAAGATTTAGGTTAGAGTAATTGATGTCAAATATATTTATTATTTTAAAAAATAATAAAAATGGTATATGTAATTGTGACCGAGGAAAAAAACATAGGGTTATGGTGGAAGATATAAAAGTTTACCCTTCAATTGATTAGAAAATTACAAAAATGACACGTCCGGGACGCAAAGAAACGTGAAGGAAGGAGCGTCATGTCGTCAGAGTACCCGACTGTCGAGTCCATATCCAATCCCACTACACTCAGCTTTAATTTAAAATTCCCTCTTTTTTTTTACCCAATTAATTTAATTTTATCTTTTCTTTAATTTTTACTGGTTGGTTCTGAAATAAAAATCGAGTTTAAATTATATTTTAAAAAGTGGAATAAAAATGGTATGATTTATTATTAAATACTTTTCACAAAATTACACCAAACTTAATATTATTACCGTGGAATAAAATGGTATGATTTATTATTAAATACTTTTCACAAAATTACACCAAACTTAATATTATTACCGACCACATATAATTGAATCACTTTCGCTAATTCCACAAATTTAAAAATGTACTTTTCTTAAATAATAATGATTTTTTTTTTAAGTGTAAAATGGAAGAAAAAGACAATCGTGTGGTATCTTTTGTGAAGGATGTTGAGAACATTTGACATGAAAAAGTGTTGGATTAACTTTCGGATAGAATAAGGTAAGACATGAAATTCATAAGAGTTGCTTTTGGGAAGATGCGACAAGGGAGCAATGATATTCAAGGTTAAATTAGTATATTTGCATTTTACACTTTTATTAAATTATTCAAAACCATTTCCGCTTTTGTGAGAAACAAAAATAATTTTTAAAAACTACCAAATAAAAGATTTTCAAACTTAAAAAACAAACTCAATTTTAAATTTGGATAATTTTATGGAGGTGAGATCTCACCATCCGCCTTTTTGTGGTCTGTGTCCTCGCTAGTACATAGTCCGATGTCTAGCTCTGATATCATTTATAATGGCGTCCGTTTTGCTTTATTTTACGACGTCTGTAAAACCCAGATCCACCACTAGCAGATATTGTTCTCTTTGGGGTTTTCCTTTCGAGTTTCCCCTTAAAGCTTTAAAACGTGTGAAGGTTTCTACACTCTTATAAAAGAGTGTTTTGTTCTCCTCCACAACTAATGTGAGACATCAGAATCCACCTCCTTCGGGGTTCAGTATCCTCGCTGGCACTCATTCGTTTCTCTAATTGATATGGGACCGCCACCAAATCCACCCATTTGGAGCCCAGCGTCTTTATTCACATATCTTCTGGCATCTAGCTCTTATACCACTTGTAACAACTCTTTCACATGTATATGAAAGATCACTAGGCCCACTGAGTAATGTAATTTATTAAATAAAAAAATAGTGTAAGGTAACCAAAAAATTAATAAAAGAACATTTGTAATTTCCAAAATCTAAATGGGACCCTTAAAAAATATATTTCTTCCACAAACGACAAAAAAAAAAAAGAAAAGTCAGTTACGAGTGCACAGCTGTTTTGGTGCATTCGTCCACGTAAGCATGTAATGGGCCCACCGTGGACGTTCTCGCACGTGTGCAAGTTCAACGGAATAGCAACCGAGTCTGAGACACGGTCGGAAATCTGTCTGTAGTAAATCGTGGGCCCCGCAACATCTAGTCAAAGTCAAACACCCACATACGACGTCGCACCAACATCGTTAACTCAATATTCCGCCACTCATTTAATTGATTAAAATAATAATAATAATATAATAATAATAAGAGTATTGTCTCACACTTCGAATCCAATGTTCAATTGGTCCCCACATGCGTTTTAATTCTGTCGTTTATTTCAAAATGCACATATCCATGTATACTAATATAATAAACATATTTAATTTTAGAAAAACTAATGATTCTTTCTAATTTTAAATTTAAATTAATTTTTCTAAAAAAATCTCATATTAATGGAGATGGTAGCTCATAATTATATACTCACGACCTTCTTGTTAATCCTCCAATACAAGACTCCAGCAATATTATTCATTTTTTATTTATTAAATTATAGCTATTTTTTCGGGTAGCATACGGGGAATAAATTGATTGGATTCCATGTACTTTTTACAACATAATATAAAAAATATTTGTCTTGTTTTTTGATTTTGTTGCTTTTTGGAGGGCTCGAAGAGAGTACAAAATGGGATTTGGAAGGATTAGAAATGTCACACTAAGAAGGATATGCAAATCACAACCATTCATATGCAAAAGCCAATAGTCAAAGATGATTACAAAAGCAAACCTTCTCCTTAATAAAAACATCTATAGATTCCTTTGGCATTCGCGCCATTAAAACGTCTTTTTATTTCGATTGTTTACATTCTCTTGATAGCAACGTATACGTCTTTTGTATTACTGTTTTTGTGTGTACAAATCGTAAATGTTTAATTTATTTTTGTTTATATATGAAGTATCGTTCTGTGAAGTCAATATAAATGTATTAGGGCGTATAGGGTTAAGGAATATAGTTATGGTTATTGACCCCGTTTAGTTAAGATGAAAAAAATTTCTTCCCACCTGACTTCCCTCAAGGTTCTAAGACACGTTTACTGGGGAGAGGTTTCTATCAACTCCCTCGCTACCACACCTGATATGGAATCAACTCAAGGAAAAGTATGAAACGGATTATTTTGATAATCAAGATCAAAATCAAAGAAAACTCGTTAGTCGAATCACTCCACAAGAGGTTCGATCAATACCACTTAAATGACTCTAGCATGCAAATTCTAGACACGAGAATTTGTAAAGAAAATCTTAGCTCTCAACAAAGCTAAAAAAAATATAAATTATATTTTTCTTTAATTCCAAAATGTGATGTCTCTCGTCAAAGAAACGAAGGTTTTAAATGACCTTTACAACCTTAACCTGACACATAACTTCCGAATTAAATTGGCTAGTAAATGAGAAATACCCATAACTTTCATATTAAAATGGCTAGTTAATAGTAGAATATGGTAACCTAGGTTAAATATCTTAACTTCTATCTGAAAAACAAACAAATATTTATATTATAATTAAATAGTGCCAGTAATGAAATGTGATTATTAATCATCTTTGGATTAGTTTCATAAATTTAGCCTAGTTCATTAAATGCAACTTAAAGTGCATTTAATACATCTCTTTCTTGAAGCTCAACTTTACACAACATATAAGGGAGGTCTTCAACATCTTACAGAATTTTATTCAATGAGCTCATCATAGCTTGAATACAAGTGTACAAGGTTTGTTGTAGCTTCTGGCTCTTGTCATTATAATTGGACCTTGAGGTATGGAAATTTCTTGATCGTGGTTCATATCAACACTGCTCGATGGATGGCCTTGACACCATTTGTAAAGGCCCAACTTAACCGCTAACAGATATTGTTCTCTTATTGGTTTTCACTTTTACGTTTCCTCTCAAAGTTTTAAAATGTGTCTATTAGGGAGAGGTTTTCACAGGCCCAACATTCTCACTATCACATTGTTGGGTGCTTGACTCTTATATCATTTGTAACTGCGCAAGCCCATCGCTAGTAATATCACCTAATGTCTAGGAATCATATCATAATTCAAAATTTAGATTCGACACCTAATGGTCACAAAATTTCACGTACATCTCTTGCAACACAACTATGTTACCCACTTATCTTAAATTGTTTCTAAGAGCGAATATTATTTCTACAAGCAACATCAATTGTTTTAATTAAATAAATGGTAGTACAAAACATTTACGCTACCATATTAGCTCTAGAGAATTTCCCATATCATGTCATATAAGATTTGGCATTTGTTTTTTGTGTAATTATTTGAATAATTATTTATAGCAAAAAACTATTTGATTGACTAGTTTATGTCGAAACAAAATCTTTTGTTTTTGTTGATGACGTGTCCCAAGTAACTAATAAATAAATATTTTTTTAAAGGTTATGAATGTCATAAATAATTGTTTTGGTGCACTTATTATTAATAAATTGACATGTAAATAATTTAGCATCATATCTACTTTTT